AGACAGAATATTGTATACATAATAAATAAATATTTAAAAAAAAAAAGTTTTCCTCTAAAGCTCTATGGAGACATTTGTACTTTCTACAAAGGAAATTTTATTTTTCAGTTTCTTCAAGGAACCTTAATTCTTAACTTACTGGCTTTTTTTTTCCCGCTAAACCGAGTGGATGTAGCTGTAGAGAAATTGAGAAGTCCTGAGAATGGGAAGGAATTGTTTTTAGCTATCATAATTGATTCAGATTTTAAAATATGAAAAATTTAAAACTTATATTTTTTATTTTTTAGTGTTCAGCAAAAAACCTGAAGAATATATCAGAGCTGTTTTATTATGCACAGAAAGCTGTTCTTCATCCTACAGGGCCTCTTTACTGCCCAGAGGAGAAAGAGGTAACCCAGGCTGTGCTCTGTTGGCCTGAATGATACAATATATATGCTTGTGGGTTTTAGTACTGTTAAACATTTTAAAAGATGAAGCTATTGAAATCTAATTGTGTTGCTTATTAAATTGTTAAATTGAGTGTTCTGGTTCAGGGACGCTGATAGTGTGTCTTCATAAAGTTTCCAGTTTGTTTTTTTTGGATAGTGCTACCAACACATAGAACTGGCATCACTAGTAAAACAGCCAAGACTATATTAATTGTTTACTTACTTGGCAGCTATAAAATCTATGAACTTCTCCCTTAATTTTTTATGTATATATTTTGTGAGTTGGATGTATGCCATGATGTGCCTATAGAGGTCAGAGGACAGCTTGTGGGAGTCAGTTCTCCCTTTCCTCTCTTTGGGTCCAATGTCAGACTTGGTAGCAGATATTCTTTACCCGCTAATCGATCTCATCAGTCTGAAAAAAATCTATGAATCTAAGCAAAAACTCGGGTAGAATTTTGTTTTGTTTCAGTAACTGATCTCAGGGTTTCTTTCATGCATAGTAAGTGAGTGTGCTACCCTTGAGCTACATTCTCAGACCTCTTAAAAGTTTTTTTCCTGGGTACATGTGATGTAACTTGGATATGCTTTCATAGCTAAGAAATACAGTAATTCCATTAAGAAACACCCAGAATTTAATAAAAAATTTGTAATAGATTTAAAACTCATTTCTTAAAGATCTATAACACAGAGTTTACATCTTTCATGCATACAGTTGAGTTTTAGTATATTCAGAAAGTTACATTCCTCATAAGGAACTCCACTGCCTTCTATTCTTCCCCGCCCTCTTTGTCCCACCCCTGGCAACTGCTGATCCGCTTTGTCTCTCCTGGACGGTTCCTGACAGTGGCGTCACCAATGAGTAGCTTTTAATTCTCTCTGTTTCACTAGCACTGTGTTCAAGGTTCACTCATGTTGTAGTGTGTATCTATTTAATTTCTTCTAGTTAAATAAAATGTCATTATATGAAGAGAACAACTCTTCTTTATCCTTTGGTGTCTACTGAAGTAGTCTTCCTTTTGACTATTGTGAATGACTGCTGTTAATGTTAACTTGTTCACAAGTTTTTTGGTTTTTTTTCTTGAAACACCTGTTTTCAGTTTTTTCGATAAGTAACAAGACCATTGTATGTTTAACTAAGGGAGGAACCACCAGATAGATATTCCTACAGTAGCAGCGAAATTGTCCATTCCCACCTGCCATATAAAGATTTAATATTTGTTTGTTTGTTTGTTTTTTGAGACAGGGTTTCTCTATATAGGTTTTACTGTCCTGGAACTCATTCTGTAGACGAGGCTGTCCTCGAACCCACAGAGATCTGCCTGCCTCTGCTTCCTTAATACTGGGATTAAAGTGTGCCACCACTGTCAGGCAATATCCAATTTCTTTTTCTCTTCTTTTCCCTTCCTCCCTCCATTTTCCTCCTCTTCTCCCCTTTCGTCCTCTCTCTTCCCCTCCCCTCCTATCTCTCCCCGCCCCTCTTATGTATCTCTGACTGTCTGGAGTTTACTTTGTAGACCAGTCTAGCCTTGAACTCACAGGGATTCCCCTGCCTCAGCCTCCCGAGTGCTGGGATTAAAGATGTATGCCACCACTCTTTTTCAGTCTGTGTCCTCTCCATTCTCTCATTCTCATGCATCCTGGGGTGTGTTTATATTTATTATGTGATGTATAGCTGAGGATGACTTGGGAGTTTCTGATTCTCCTACCTTTCTTTCCCAACTGTTAGGATTACTGGTATTCACTGCCATACCCAAATGAAATTTCCAACTTATTTACATCTTTGCCAGCAGTCATTTATACTTTTGGACTTTTGGTTTATTACATTCATCCTAGAAAATAACACTTTGGAGCTGAAGAAATGGATTAGCAGTTAAGAGCACTGATTGCTCTTCCAGAGGGCCCAGATTCAATTCCTAGCACTCACGTGGTAGCTAACCACTGTCTAACTCCAAGATTTGACACCCACACACAGCATACAGACATGCATGCAGGCAAAACACCAATGCACATAAAAGAAAATAATAAACTAAAAAAAAAAGAAAATACCAGTTTATTTCATTGTTATTTTAATTTATATTACCCCAATGGCTAATAATCTTAAACAATTTTTATATATCTATTTTGGAGAGATATCTACTTAAGGACTTATGCCCACTTTTTAGTTAGGTTAATTTTTATTTTATTATTTTTTAAGGATTTATTTATTATATAGTGTTCTGTCTGCGTGTATGCTTGCACTCCAGAAGAGGGCACCAGATCTCCTTACAGATGGTTGTGAGCCATTATGTACCTGCTGGCACTTAAAACTCAGGACCTCTGGAAAAGTAGCCAGTGCTCCCTTTCTGTACCCCCCTCCCCACCCAAACTCAGGGTTTCTCTATAGCTTTGGAGCCTGTCCTGGAACTAGCTCTTGTAGACCAGGCTGGCCTTGAGCTCACAGATGTCTGCCTCTCTCTGCCTCCTTAGTGCTGGAACTAAAGGCATGTGCCACCACTGCCCGGCTTGAGGTATTTTTTTTAAAAACAATTTTAGATGTACTTACTTTGTATATGTGAGCATTTTGTCTGCATGTATGTTTGTATACCATGTGATGCCTGGTCCTGAGAAGGTTAGAAGAGTGTGTCAGATTCCTTGTAATTGGAATTACAGATGATTGTGAATCAGCCTGTGGCTGGGAATCAAACCGGGTCCTCTGCAAAAGCAACAATTGCTCTTAACTGCTGAGCCAACTCTCCAACCCCGAGGGTTTTTGTTCTTGGTTTTTGTTTTGTTTTGTTTTTTGGTCTCACTGTGTAGCTCTGTCTGTCCTTGCACTCGCTTTATAGGATCCACCTGCCTCTGCCTTCCCAGTTGTAGGATTCCTTAATTCCTTAGTCCTATCACTGTCCTGAGGTGAAATAAAATTTTGGAGGGCTGGAAGGATGGCTCAGGCGTTAAAAGCATTTCCTTGTTTTCCAGAGGTCCTGAGTCCAGATCCTAGAGCCCACATTCTTGTCCTTCTCAGGCACTCTCACATATGTGGCATGTTGACAGACACACAGAAAGAAATCTAAAAATAAATAAAAATTTGAAGTTTATAATGTTGTTGAGTAGTTGGTTAAAAAAAAAGTTGAGAACCACCAGCCAAACTTGGCTTTTTTACAACCTATGAGCTATGAATACATTTTATGTATTTTTAATTATTGAAAAAAGTAAAAATGAAGTGTGTTTTGTGATATGTAAAAACTGTGTTCCATTGGTATACCAGCCATCCTTGTTTATGTTCGTGGCTGTGGTGAGCAGCTGGAGCAGTGCTGCTGTTTAGTGCTGCCAGTCCCCATTCCAGTGCAAGACAAACGGCGAGGAGATGTTCAGTAGCAAAGCTCTTACAGTTGTAAACCCAGACTTCAGTTGCAGCATTGTTCTTTAGGCTTTGATGCAGGCCCCAGGAAATTTCCACACTCCATATAGTCCATCTCACTCTGTAGACCAGGCTGGCTTCAAGCTCAGAGATCCTGTCTCAGCAGTGTGCCACCACTGCCCCGCAAATTCTGTTTTCTCTAGTGACCTACTTGACAAAATTAGACTCGCTTGTTACTATATTAACATTTTAAATGTTTTCAGGAAAAATAAGGGAATTTGTGCTATATAAATAAAACCTACATGATATCTGTGATTTTGCATATTTGGCTCCAAAGCTTAAAGTATTTGCTATGTTGCCCTGATAGAATATAGTCAGATAGAATTAATATCCCTTAATTTGGCCGTGGTTTCTCACTTTTATTCCTAATTTATGATTCCTTAAGTTTTTTAAAATTATCCTTAACCTAGTGCTTTCTAGACTTGTCTCACCAAAGTTAACTAGTTACAAATGCATTCCGGACCAGTCCAGCTATATGCTGTATTTCATAGTCAAGGAAATTTAGAAAATATTTTGAATTATTAGAATTTACCTCAGAGGCCTTTACCTCAGTGATACATTAAATTCCCTATTAGTTTTTTTGTTTTGTTTTGTTTTTTTGAGACAGGGTTTCTCTGTGTAGCTGTTTGTCCTGGAACTCACCATAGAGTGCTGGGATTAAAGATGTATGCCAGTACCTCCTTAGTTTATTCTAAGCTCTTGAACTATTGCTCTGTACTTAGGCCTATTATTAGTTCCGCTAATCTGCTCATCTCCTGCCCTTCCTCCGGTCCCTGAATAAAGCTATCTGCTACCCAGCCCACAGGTGTATAAATACCATAGAAAGCTTTCAAGTTTTAGACTATATATTGTTTTATATGTGTACAAGCTTTAAGTTTAAGCTTTACTAGAATATTTTTGACAGGGTTAAGAGTATGCACTACTCTTGTAGAAGACCTGAGTTCAGTGCCCAGTGCCCACATGTGCTGCCTCACACTGGCTGTAACTGCTTCTCCAACAGCTCTGGCCTCCAAGGGCACTCACACTCAAGTGCATACACCTGCGCACACACAATTAAAAGTAATTTTTAAAAATATTTTTTTTTGTTTCTTCCCTCACTTATTTGTATGTGTGTACACAGTGTGTCTGTCTGCATGGGTGAATATAGGTCAGAGGATAACATTTGGGAGTTGGTTCCCTTATTTCCACCATATTCGTCCTGATGGCCTAACTCAGGTCTTTGGGCTTGTAGGCAGGCTTCTTTACTGCTGAGCTATTATCCAGCCCCAAATTCTGCAACTTAGTTTCATATTATAGTCACAACTATTCTCATTATTTTTTTCCTCTGTGTAGTCATAGGAATGGCATTATAAGTTAATGAATATGTCTTATCATTCTATTGTCTTATTTCTCTGATTCTCTGGTAAGAAATGGGTTCATAAGACTCTGCCTCCAGGCCAGGTGGTGGGCCTTTAATCCCAGCACTCAGGAGGCAGAGGTAGGCTGATCTCTGTGAGTTCGAGGCCAATGTGATCTACAGGACGAGTTCCAGGATAGGCTCTAAAACTACAGAGAAACCATGTCTCGAAAAACAAATGAAAAGGCTCTACTTCCAGAAAATATATGTAAAACTTAGTAAGCACTCTTTATAACAAACTGTACTAAAAATGACTTCAAAGAAATTATTGTGGTTTCTTTTTAATATGACATACTCTTGCTGAGAGAGGGTAGGGAGCCGATATGAGTGAATCTACCTCCAAGTTCAAATAAACTTCAGTGATCTTCTTCAGGCCTGACAGTATGTTGAAATAGGAGCAGCGGCAGGGCTGCGTCCCTGGCACCCGGCTGCCCGCATGGCTAGCTTATGCCCAGAAATAATTACACAGAAACTGTATTCTTTCAAACACTGCCTGGCCCGGCTAGTTCCAGCTTCTTATTGGCTAGCTCTTACATATTGTTCTAACCCATTTCTAATATTCTGTGTAGCCCACGAGCTGGCTTACCAGGGAGGATCTTAACCTGCGTCTGTCTGGAGCGGGAGAATCATGGCGACTCCTCACTAAGCTTCTTTTTCCCAGAATTCTCTTCTGTCTACTCCGCCTACCTAATTTTCTGTCCTATGAGGGCCGAGGCAGTTTCTTTATTATAATTAATCAATGTCCTTCCTCCATCATTTCCCCTTTTTCTGTTTAAACAAAAAGGAAGGCTTTTATTTTAACATAGTAAAATTACATATAGCAAAACAGTTATCAAGCAAGAATTACAGTTACAATATTTATATCTATTTTATCTTTTATCATAATTAAGGAAAACTATAACTATTCATTCTTCAATTCCATCAAAAACTCCAGAAGGATATAATATTACCTATCAAACAAGAAATAAGAAAACTCTAGAAATCACAGAGACATCTCGCTGCCTGGACAGTCACCCAAAGTTCCTCTGTACTGTTGGGGCACCCATCTTCAGCCTACAGGCCCATAGTATCCAGCAGACATTTTTATCAAGCAGGAAATTTCAAAGACAGTTCAGTCATTTTCTGCTGTGTCCTGCAGAATGTCTCGCAGACTCTTTCATGAATCAGGAACCCCGAAAGACCATCTCACCTTTAGGCAAGTTCAGTAGTCCTCTCTCTGCGGGTTCTCTGTGTTCAGTTTATGCATCGGTCCATGCAAGAGCAGTTTCTTGCCCAAATGGCTAACCAACTCCATAAAGGATCCTCTTCGATGCCCATCTTCCTTTTGAAGTAGATTGGTGCTGCCAGGAGCAGACGTGTCTCCTTGTCATGAAAAGTCCTAAGTTATTAAAATATTTTAAAATGCCATATTCTGCAGTCTTTGAGAGATATGAAGAATGCCTATCTAATTGAAATATATCTCTATATATCTAGAAAATCTAACTAACATGACTACAAGCTTAACTATTAGCGATGATTATCCATTAACAACCTATATTTTCTAATTATACATTACATTTTTAAATGAACTACACAATCACAATACCTTAATCAAGATCAAAAATACATATACATATAACAAAATTGACCATAAAACCCATACCAATGCAAATTATTTATATCTATATCAACAGTATATGCCCTTAATCCCAGCATTTGGGAGGCAGAGGCAGGTGGATCTCTGTGAGTTCAAAGCCAGCCCCGTCTACATTATCAGGAAGACACAGAGAAATCCTATCTCAAAAAAAAAAAAAAAATTCTTCCTGGTGATTTTTTTCCCCCTGAATAGTGTTGGGGATTGAACCCATAGCCTCAGGCGCACTACACAAGCATTCTGCCGCTGTACTACATCCTACATCATTAGTCTCCGGAAGTCTTTTGTTCAGTATTGTTGACAGTGATCACCCTGGAGACGAGTATGGACCTTTGTGTGGGGTGCGTTTGTCTATGCATGTGACCAGAGATTAATGTCAGGATGTTTTTCCTCAATCACCATCATACTTTGTTTTGTTTGTTTTTGTTTTTCAAGACCGAGTTTCTCTGTGAAACATTCCTGGCTGTCCTGTAACTTTCTCTGAAGACCAGGCTGGCCTCGAACTCACAGAGATTCACCTGCCTCTGCCTCCTAAATGCTGGGATTAAAGGCTTGCACCAGCACCGCCCAGCTCCTTCATATTTTTTGAGATAGGCTCTCTCACTAGACCTAAAACTTGCTCTTTCATCTAGTCTTGTTGACCAGCATGCTCAGAGACCTGCCTGTCTCTACTCCAGCACTAGGTTTTCAGACATGGGCCTATGCCAGGCTTTTACATAGCTTCTAGAGATCCAGACTCAGGTCTTCATGCTTCTGCCAAAAGTACTGACTGAGCTATCTCAATAGCTCCATGAATCTTATTCTTGGGTAATCAGATATTTTATCCTTTATATGTCCTAAAATAATTAAAGAATTTGCCAAATAAATTTCTTACCATTACTTATATGTTTTATAAATCTCAAAAAGACAAGATTCACTTCCAAAATGTCAATAATCTTATAATGGCAACTAAGTAAAAGTCATATACTTACTAACCAGTGATATTTTGTAAGCTATTTGTGAATAATCTCATTTTTTACCCAACTTTTACATATGCATGGAGTGAGTAAAAACATTGAGTTCTTTTGCCTGAGCTTATAACTCAGTGCTTGCTTAGCAGGAGGCTCTGGGTTTGATGCCCAGCATGTATGTATTCTGGTATGCACACATACACAGAACCAGGCTTGATTGCATATGCTTGTAATCCTAGCACTCAGGCTGAGGCATGATGATTCAAAGTTTGAGACTAGCCTGAGCTATATTATTGCAAAGGCCAGGTGTCAGCAAAAAAGGGGAAGGGGGAGAGAGATAGAACATAATAAAAATCATGGGCTTGCTTTGCTGTTCATGCTGGGTCAGACATGATCCAGTTACTTGGGAGGCTAAGCTTGGGCAATTAAGTGAGACCTTGGCTCAAAATACACAGTAAAAAAGGTGGCTGGAGTAAACTGCACAAGGGTGAGGGTCTGAGTTCAGATCTTCAGAACCCACATAAGCTGGATACACTAGCCTGTGTATATGATCCCAGTGCTTCTCTGTCAAAAAGTGAAGGTGAGAAAGGAAAATCCCCATGAGCACACAATAGACTCTGCCTCAGACAAGGTGAAGACGAGCACTGACAGGCAAATTGTACAGGATATGGGGTAGGTTAAAAAGGGCGCTTGTGCATGCATTTAATCCCAGCACTCAGGAGGCAGAGGCAGGTGGATCTCTGTGGCCAGCTTGGGCGACAAGAGCTAGTTCCAGAACAGGCTCCAAAGCTGTACAGAGAAATCCTGTCTTGGAAAACCAGGAGTTAAAAAAAAAAATAAGAAAAGATTGAGGAGATGGCACAGTTATAGAGTGTTTGCCTAGCAAGCTGTAGGTTCAGTCCTCTATGCTTAAAAGAAAAAAAGGAAATTACTTAGCTTCAGTTCATTTCTTTATGTTATCAGTTTTATCTATTTATTTTTATTTTTAAGATTTATTATGTATACAGTGTTCTGTCTGCATGTTTGCTTATGTGCCAGAAAAGAGCATCAGATCTCATTATAGATGGCTGTGAGCCACTGTGTGGTTGCTAGGAATTGAACTCAGGTCCTCTGGAAGAGCAGTTAATGCTCTTAACCTCTGAGCCATCTCTCTAGCTCCCCATGTTATCAGTTTTTGATGTTAAATAAAAACTATCAAAAGTTTTCTAAACTTTGTCTGTGAAAAATGTATTTTAAATCATTTTGTTTCTTTTCTCACTGTTGTGTAGATGAAACCAGCTTGTATAAAAGCCCTCACTCGTATATTTAAAATATCTGATCAAGATAATGATGGCACTCTGAACGATGCCGAACTCAACTTCTTTCAGGTAACTGTCTTTAGCTTCAGATTAAGAATGGTTAGATTAGCAGTATGCTACTAGCAACCTATTTTCTTATCTGCAAAGCAGTCACATCCAACTATTAAATCTTAACGTATGAAAAGCCTATTATGCCTAGGAACTGAGACTTTTTTGATAATTTGGGGTTGTGGTATTCAGTGGGTGTGTGAAGAATGATGAACTCTGAAGCGCTGTGCTTTCTGGATTTTGTATTATGTGACCACACAAAGACTGTATGTTTCTGAAAGAGAACGAGGAGTGCTACAGGTTTCTTTCTTCAAGTAGGACATACTTTGCTTAAATAATAGGAAATAGAGATGACATGTACTTGTTTATTTTGGTTGAAGCACTTAGTTTTTTAAATAAGCACTTTTGTATTTGTGTATTATATGATGGTTTCTTTTTACATTTATTTTATTTTATGTTTTTTGCTAGAGAATTTGTTTCAATACTCCTTTAGCTCCTCAAGCTCTGGAAGATGTCAAGAATGTGGTCAGAAAGCACTTAAGTGACGGTGTGGCTGACAGTGGGTTGACGCTGAGAGGTAGGGGATGGCTTCTTCATCACTTTCTCCTCAGGGCCTTACATGTAGGGCCAACACCGCATCAATCGTGTTTCTGCACATTTCCCACCCCTTTAAATTTAATATTTCCAATTAGTATTATACATTAGGGAAATGTTAGTATTGGTGGGAGATTATTATCTTTATTGTCAGTCTAAATTAGAGGTAGGGATATTAGTTAGATTAGATATGCAGACAATATGAGGGAAAGATACATACAACAAGCATGTTACATGTTATATGTTGCATATAACAAGCATGTTACATATTAAGCTGTCTTTAGGCAAAAATTACTTTTAGGGACTGTGCATATGAGTCAATTTTCCAATTGTAGTATTTCTTGTTGAGATGATGTTGTAATTTTAAAAAATGCCATGAAGAAAAGTCACACTGTGCAACAAGGCTCACATAGGAGGATTAATGATAGAGGAGAGAGAAGGGAGCAGCCAGAGGGGGCAGAGACCAGACCCTGGGGACAGGAGTGGCAGAAGACAAAGGGGGAGAAGAAGAGAGAGGGAGAGAGAGAAGGAGAGAAAAAGAAAGAGACTGAAGGTGAGCAGTAGCACAGGTGCACAGGAGGTGCTCTTAGTAGCTGCAGCTGAGGACTGTCCTGTCAGGATCCTAAGGGCAGGCCGGTACAGATGCCTGAATACATATGCTATAATAAAAAATGAAATTATAGCCCAGACTTTTCCATTATAGAAGTAAGCGAGGGGGCCTGTACATCATTCCCATTGGTTTTCATCATGTGGCTCTGGCTGTCATTGTGCTCCTTTAGATGTTACTTTGTCTCTTTTGTCCGTTGCTTGCTCTTGCAGAGCTGGGTGTTATGGGAAATGAGTCTGAAATGAGCTCTTCCAGACACTTGAGTGCTCACAAATCCAGCTCACATTGTATGCTTTCCTCCCTGCCATAGTTAACAGTCTTCACATCAATTGTATTTACTGATTTACTTTATTTCAGGTTTTCTCTTTTTACATACACTTTTTATCCAGAGGGGGAGGCATGAGACTACTTGGACTGTACTTCGACGATTTGGTTATGATGATGATCTGGATCTGACGCCTGAGTACTTATTCCCCCTGTAGGTACCTCAGCTTTCTGGTTTATCTCACTTGCCAAGTATTTTTAAGTTTTATTTTGTTTATGCATAATTTTTAAGTGTCTTGTGACTAATTTAGAATTATGGGCAGTTTCTCAACTTTGGCACTCTGACATTTTGGAACAGAGAATATTTTGAGTCTCTCTATTTAGCTCTAGCTGTCCTGGAACTCACACTGTAGACCAGGCTGGCCTAGAACTCAGAGATCTGCCTGCCTCTGCCTTCCAAGTACTGAGATTGAAGGCATGTGCCACCATGCCTGACCAGAAAATTCTTTATTGTAGAGATTGTCCTGTCCTCTTCACTATAGGATCATGGTGAGCAGGTGCTTAAATGACAGTAACACCTCTTCTTTCAGTTGTGACAAGCGAAAATGTCCTCTCACAAGCAAAATCATCCACAGTTGAGAGTTGGTACTTAATACGGCACTATGTAATAAGCACTTTTTTTTCTCTTTCCTTTTTGTTTTTTGAGACAGGGTTTCTTTGGGCAACAGCTCTGGCTTTTTGTAAACCAGCTTGCTTTGTAGACCAGGTTGCCCTTGAACTCATACCTCTGCCTCCCAAATGCTGGGTTAAAGGTGTGAACCACCACCCCCTGGCTACTTTTCTTTATCTATTTATTTACCTAGTTGAAATTTTGTTGTTTTAGGGTTTCCACTGTGTAGATGAGGCTGGCCGTGTTGGGATCACAAATTTGTGCCACCACACCCAACCTTACACGTCTTTTGAAAAACTTTTATTGAGAACAGAGGGAATAAAGATACTGTGTAATCATAGTTTTAGAGTCAAAAAATGATGCTTCCCCCTCCCCTTTTGGGTTTTTTTGTTTGTTTGTTTTTTTGAGGCAGGATTTCTCTTTGTAACAGCCCTGGCTGTCCTAGAACTAGCTCTACAGACCAGGCTGGCCTTGATTCCCCATCACTTTTATGGCCTGTTTTTAATTCATGTTCAGCATTTTTTCCCTGAACAACTGGTATGTGTAGATATTTTCCTTTGGTAATACTGTTTGAGTCTTACATATTTAAATGCGGCCTCAGTGATGCCCTCTCAGGAGAGACTGGTTGTGGGTGCCTTTTCTCTCCTTTGGGGAATTGTGGTCTGTCATAATTGGGCCTTGATATCTTCTGGCCTTTTTTTCTTACCTTTTACTCATATTTTACCTTCAAGGTACCATTTCTCTGTCTAAGAATCACACCTCCAGCTATATGTATAATTGATTAGATTATTGGTCCAATTCTGTGTTCTAGGTTGAAACTTAAGGAACCAAATGTCGGCTAAAGTTCAACATAGTTTTTCAATACATATATCCACTACATACATACATGCTGAACGGTTGCGTTTATCTTCCCTATGCTGTTCTGTGATGGATACATTCTGCAGGAGATTATTCTTACTGGGGATGTGTGTTGAGTGTGACATCAGAAGAGGACATTGGTTTTCCTGCGCCGTCATTCTCCTGCTCGTTCTTTTGAGATTGGTTTCTTACTGAACCTGGAGCAACTCTGGCAGCCAGCGAGCCCCCTCGATAAACTTCTTTCCATTTTACTCTAAACCTAGCCCTGGGGTTATAGGTGTTTATGTTACGACACCCAACTTCTTATGTGGGTACTGGGGACTTGACCCCATTGAGCTATCTCTTCAGTTCCAATTATTACTTCAAAAATTTTTTATTTGTATGGATATTTTGCCTGCATGAATGTCTCTGCACCATGTTATGCTTGGTGCCCACAGATGTTAAAAGAGGGCATCTGATACCCTGGAACTGGGATTACAGCAGATGGTGGTTAGCCATCATGTGGGTGCTGGGACTCAAACTGGGATCCTCTGGAAGAGTAGTCTTACATACAGCCTGATCTTATGGAGGCGTTTTCTCAATTGAGGCTCCTCTCCAATAACTCTACTGTGTCAAGTTGATGTAAACTAGCCAGCACACCTGAAAATAAAAATTAGCCGTGGTGGTAGTATGCTCCTTTTCCCCAGCACTTGTGAAGCTGAGACAGTATTCAGAAGAAAGGAAAGGTATCCGCTCAGCACCCCACGATGACGTTCTCAGACCAGGTTCTCGGCACAAAGATTTATTTGCCCCAGAGGGACAGAGGGCAGGGATGGGATAAGAGACAAGGAGAGGAGATGGAGATTGAAGGAGAAGGGAAAGAGGGCAGAGGCTTTTGTCACAGAGGACAAAGGATTGCCTCTGCATAGAGAGGTAACAGATGTGGTACAAAGGAACATGGCAGTTTATAAAGGTATAAGGGGAAACCCAGCGTTAGGATGATGTATCTAATTTTAACTGGGCATGTTAATTAAGTGAGCCAAATGGGGCTTCTGATTGCTGGACTTCAATACTTTGATAGATGGACCTTGGTAGTCAGCTCAGGAGAAGGAAGTCGAAGCTAGAAGGACCTTGATGACTAGCTTTAAGAATGTAATATAGGGACTGGAGGGATGGCTTAAAGGTTAAAGCACTAGCTGCTCTTCCAGAGGACCTGGGTTCAATTTCCAGCACCCACATGGCAGCTCACAACAGTCCGTAATTCCAGTTCTACACGGTATGACACCTCACACACTCATACAAATATACATGTAGGCAAAATACCAGTGCAGATAAAATAAAAATAAATTGTTCAAAAAAATAAAAGGAAATTTTAAAAAAGAAAAGGAATGTAATCTGCCAGATTTTAACAAGGCAGAGGGAATGGGGAGAGAGCAAGGTTTGCCAGAGCCACATGCTGGAGTGAGCTAATGTCCTTCAGAGTCCAGGGTCATTTTGGTCTGTGTAGTTCTGGGCCAGTCTTGTCTTAATAATGACATCCTGCCTCAAAAATAAATGAACAAACAAACGAAAAACTCCAAAGCAGCAAATAAACAAATAATTTTTAAAAATTCTAAAGTAGAAGCATGTTTTGTTTTTGTCTTCTGAGCACCTAACCTTTGACAGTTGTTAATACAACTCATTACAATGTTGCCAGAACTCACAGAGATAGGCCTGTCTCTGACTCCTGAGTGCTGGGATTAAAGGCCTGTGCCAACACTGCCTGGCATGAGTATTTATATGTATTTTATGTATGTGAGTGCTCAATTTTCATCCATACCAGAAGATGGAATCAGATGTCATTACAGATGGATGTGAGCCACCATGCTGAGGATTGAACTCAGGACCTCTGGAAGGACAGTCAAGTGCTCTTAACCATCAAGCCACCTCTCCAGCCCCAAATATATTTTTATAAATTCACAAAAGTATAGTCTATTACCAAAAAATAAAAAAATCCAATGAAAACTTAGAACTAGAAGACAATTACCTTTATGTTCATTACCTACACTAATACTGACTGACCATTTCTTGTCTTCTTCTGTATGTTATATTGTACCCACCTGTACATTTGTTTATATATAATAGGGTAAGAATTCAACAATCAAACTGTAAAATCTGCTGGTTGTGGTGATGCACGCCTTTAATCCCAGCATTGGGGAGGCAGAGGCAGGTGGATATCTATGAATTTGAGGCCAGCCTGAGCTATAAGAGCTAGTTCCAGGACAGCCAGTGCTACACAAAGAAATTCTATCTTGAAAAACAAACAACAGTAACAAAAAACAGCTGCCTTTTTACATGTGTGCTGGGGATGGAACTCAGGTTCTGATGTTTTTATGACAAGAATTTAATGACTAAGATATCTCTCCAGCCCCTATCTTTAATATTTATTTATTTGTACGTGTGTCATATGTGTGACTTTGGCTTATATGTGTGAACATGTTTATGTATGAGGGCAGGTATGTGTCATGCTACATGTTTGGAGGTCAGAGCACATCGTTAGGTGTTGGTCTTTGCCATCTACCATTTTTTTTAATTCAAATATATATTAATACATTTATTTATTTAGTTGATTAGTTAGTATGATCAGGGGATTACGGACGCCTGCACCTGTAACATCTTTTGGCCCCTGTTTTGTTGTTTGTTTTCAAGACAGGATTTCTCTGTAGCTCTGACTGTCCTCAGACTTGTTCTATAGACCAGGATAGCCTCAAACATAGAGTTTCACCTGCCTTTGCCTCCTGAGTGCTGGGACTAAAGATGACCATTATCTCGTTGTTCCCTGTTTTTTTAAACATGGATATTGTTGATTCAAATTTAGTTTTCAGACTTGCTCAGCAAGTGCTTTTAGTCATCTCCTGGTACCTTTCTAAATATTCTTTGTGTGTGTGTGTGTGTGTGTGTGTGTGTG